AGGTAGGAGTTTTATTAGTTTAAAAACCTCATCGTGATGGTGATGGAGTGATGTGCTCATGTAACAGATTTGACTTACTTGAATCTGTTCCTAAACATGATTATCCAGAGGATCTGGGAAGTGAATAAGGTGTGAGCTCTCGGTTGCTTTGATCAACCACTACAGGCTCAGAGTTCTGCCTCAGAGCCGACAGCTGACAATTCTAACCAAACTCTCAAGCGTTAGGATTCAGGTGCCTTTGATATGCTTATGACTGCAGCATAAAGTTTTACACCCATGTGAAAATAACCCTCCCCCCTCCCCACAGATGTATCTTTCTTACTTATTCCGTCAAACTGAAAGCAAGAGGCAGTTTTGGCTTGCTTTTAGCACCCCCTAGTGTACGTTTAGTATAAGCAAAGTAAAACTTACCTTCTTGCAGTGTGTTTGTCTTTTTAACACTTTAATCTAACAGCTGAAATGTCTCCTCAGTCTTCATTTGTATCTACAGGAGTGATTCATCACTAAATCAAACAAATCAGCTGTGTTTGTTATCTAAAACATGCAGGAAACATGCTGGAAGCAGACTGCAGTGCCAGGCATGTCAGCTAATTATTATTTTTTCTAAATCCAACATAACGGACTGGCACTCTGAAGTTGCAAGTGCTGTATTCTGACCACGGACAACGGTGGGGGTCTGAGTGACGTTTCGTTAACCCTGTAAAGGGTCATTGTAGCATATACTGGCTCAAGAAAAGGATTTAAAAATATGAAAAAGTTCCACACTATCCCTTTAAATAAACCAACAACAGCCTTCCCCGTCGTGAGTTGAGATGGGTGAGTCCATGAATGTTAAATAAGTGTGACGTAGATCTGTGAGGCTTTTCAAATCCTAGAGTTTCACCATCTATTTTCTATCAGAAGCTAATGCAGGAGATAGGTGTAGGAGACTATTTTCATGTTCAAAAGGTTTTAAATAAAAAAAATAGGTTCCACACCTTTAAATGTGAGACGGGCCTTTGTCTTCTAGGTCCATGGAGGTTTCGGTCTTGGATTTCTTCCATAGATTCATTTTTATTCGTTTTTTTTTTTTTTTTTTTTTTTTTTTGTTACAGTTGAATGCTGACGTTTAACTTTAAAGCTAACCACGAGGCCTGCAGTTCTTTACAAAGTTATTTGGTTGGATTGGTTTAGAATGTGATGTATTGCCTTTTGAGATCTTTTAGCCTTCTTTAAGTTAAACAATGCATTAAAAAAATAAGACATGTGTGTGACTGGTGATTCTGAAACCAGCTTTGCAACTAATCACAATTAACTCATCATTCAACAAAAGCGGAAGATTATCTTCTAATAGAGACATTTTGGTTTTGATAGTTTATCATGGAAAAACAATTGTAAAACATGTTGTATTTTCTTTAGTTGAGCTGTGTTATGGAAAAACTTATGTTTATTAATTCTTGATCATGGACTCAATCAACTGAATGTAAATATATAGCTCTATGCCACACACACACACACACACACACACACACACACACACACACACACACACACACACACACACACACACTCTATAAATAAGCTCTGTGACCGGATGTTTGGGGCATTTTGCCTCGTGCATCTTGCCACAGTTTTAACTGTTTGACTTGTTGTTCATTGTCTCCCTTTTCTCTCCGACTACAGGAAATGGGTTATTGATAAACATATTGATAAAATCATTTACAATCTGAAACATTCAAATGACAAATAAAAGTAACTGACTCATCCACAAGACTTAATTAACCAGTTCGGCAATAACTTCATTCTCAACACGAGATGATTTCATGGATGCTTGGCATTTAATCGGCTTTGTGAGGATATTGTCAAGCCCAGTGAAGTAGGAGGAACATATTATGATATGTTATTAATGTGACCAGGGACTATTTCCCTCTACATACTGGTATCTGTTCCAAACACACACACAGCAGCTTGTCCTTATGAACACTGTTTGAACCGAGTGCAGCGTGAGAGACTGAGGTGGAGATAGAAGTGGGAATGGATTCGCACATTTACAGATGTCTGAATATGAAGATTTATAATTCGGTCTAGGCTACATCATCTCTCAGAGAAAGTGTTTTCTCAGAAATAAAATTTTCTGCTTCAGTGAACTGTTCATTAAGGCAAAAAAAGGCAAAAAAGTCCATTTTTCTCTGGATAAAGAAATTACTTGCAAGTACCTGCATTTGTGCAGCACTCCTGAATCGCTTGATTATTAAAAAACCAAAACAAAAACTTTGAGTTATTCCAGTCTAATGTTCACCAGAACGTTCGGTTGCAGAACTTTCAATCATTAATTTTGCATTATTATCTCCACCTCCTTTGCATTGTTTACATTTTTGACACAATCTGTGAACTCAACTGCGTCCATTCCTCAAAGTCCCAAACTTAAACTCCTCGTGGCAATGCAGCAGCGGGCTCTCTGTTATCTGCTCCAGTTCTGTCCAATTTTTGAGGGGGAAGCCCTGGTGTTCTGCAGCTAAAAGCCTCAGCATGTGATGAATAATGGATACAGATTCCCCATCCAGTCAAGTTCAAAGGCGTTCTGCTAGTCCATGCATGAAGCAACAACACACACACTGAAAACTCTATGCTAATGGTCCTGAGCTCCAAGGGCCTGGACTGAGCTCACTGAGACATGCTAACACCCCCGAGGCGAGGGTGACAACAGCGAGGATGATTTGCTGCAATAACTGCAAAGGGTCGAGAATTTTCTGAGCTCTGACACCAGAATGCCGAGCACGCCTGAGCATAAATATTTACATCATAAACAACCCCTCAGAAGGTGCAAGAAGCAGGAGTCGTCGCAACGGAAGACTGGACATTTCGTTGATGCTGAGCAATGCTAATCACCTCTGAGGCGTTGCAGGACTGAAGGCACAGGAAGAGGGTGTCAGAGAAAATCATCACATGGGCCAATTCCGTTCTATACCCGCTGCAGTAACGCATGCCCTCAGGAGGAAAATAGTCCACGACTGAAAGCACTACTGACGCTTTGCTAGTGAGTGTTTTATGTGTGTCTGTGGCTACTTGATTGTGTGCAGCCATTTAGGCCTTTTCCTGATTAGACTGAGAACAAAAGAACAAGTTATCAGTAAAGGAAGCAGCACTCTGCTTGTTAGCAAACCAAAAGAAAACAGTTTCCCCCGCTAACAGCAGCAGCTCAGGGAGAATAAAATGGTCCTAGCTTTTCTAAAAAGGTTCTGAATATGTTTCAGCTGCTCTTTCTTTCTTTCCCGCTTCTGCTCTCTCTTCTGCATTTGCAACTTCCTCACTGTGCTTTTCTTTAATGCCTGTCCCAAATTAACAACGTTTTTCTGTTTACAGAAAGCTTTTGCACATTTTCATGGTGTTAAGGGATTTTACGGCAATCAAACAATCATTTTACATAATTTCTCAGCAGTGAGGATGAAAAAGAAACAGACCCACAACTTCCAGAAGGAACAACACAGATAAGTGTACTATTTCTCAGAATAAGTGAATATCATAGAAGTGAAACAAGAGTTGATATTAGCTTAAAAAACATTAAGAGTCTTAGTTTGTGGTCAGACAGCAACGCGAGTTGGAAACCTAATTTGGCAACAAACCAACGTAGATCCTGACAAGAAGGCATGGATTAAACAAGATCTATAGTTATTTGGAAATAATCATTAAAAATTTAAGTTTTAAACAGTTTGAAGATTATTATTTTGATCACGTGACAAATTATCCCTGTTACAGTTAAAGTCATAAAACTGTCTGGAGCCATAAAATGTGAGAAAATGTGTATATTTTATTGTAAAAGCTAGCTGAATTAGTGTGTATAACGCCATTTTTGACAAGTATTACAAAGGGCTGGGTCACATGCAAGTGTGCTAATTCAATTGTGGCAATTTAGTCATTCGTTGTTTGAATAGAATACACTTTATTGATCCCAGAGTGGAGAAATTCATTTGTTTTTTATTTACTCAAATTGAATTTACAATTCCAGCTTGATGGGCCCCCGAATCTATTTTTAATAAACTCTGTGTGCTCACTAGGCCCTTTGGAGACTCTTTATTGGTTATTCTTTCACAAAAACACAGACAGAAGTGAAGAGTGATAGTCAAATTATGCAAAAAACATGAAAACAAAATTTCAAAACTGAATAATAAAGACTCCAGCCCATGTGAGCTTTGGGGATTCAAAGTCTTAAACAATGAACAGATATAATCAGAAATAATCAGAATTTTAAAAAATGTGTACAATTAGTCTGTTTTACAAGTTCCATTTTATGCAAACCTTAGAGGGGAAATCAAAGTTTTACAAAATGGCTTTAGGTCATTTTTCTGTGAATTTTTGGATTTCTGCTCATTTAAATAATCAACTATTCCCTGTGGCGATCTCAGACAAGGTGATTAAATGCTCATCATTTAACCTGCAGCTGTTTGGAATTGATGTTGCAAACCAAAAATCAATTTAAAGCAGCAGAAACTCAGATTTGTCAGGCAAACTTTGCCTTAATGGTCCCTATTTCAGAAAACCGTCACGCTGCGGGGTCGTTGTTAGACCTAAGGGCAGGTGATGACCAGGCAGGCAGGTAAGTTTAATAACTAAATAAATAGCGGGATGTAATTAGGACATGGACTAATGGGGATACAACTGGTTACAGGAGGTTCTGACATGTGGTGCATGGAACTTTGACTAAATATGACATAAAGTAAACAAAAACATTGTCAGTCTAAGCGCCCACGTAACACTAAAGCTCTATCATGACTCATAACGTCAAAACTCCCACACAATCCAGTTGCTGATCCCAGTAAACCCACTCATGTCTGAAAAGGACAGTTTCAGTGTTAAGGCTCCATCCTAAATAAACCCCAATTAACATTAGTCCTTAACCTTCATTATTTCTGCTAATTATCAACATTTCCGGCCAAGTTCATTAAAAACCTGTGAAGTCAGGGTGATGTTATCTGGTAACTGAAGAGTGGTCGGTGTCAGAAAGAGGAAATGAAGATACTGACCTCGTTAAAGGGAGCCACCTCCTCACAGTTCTCAGCCACGTGGCTGTAGAAGGGCAAACCTGAGAGAGGCAGAAAGATTTGGTTATTAAAAGGCAGCAGAGTCCGAAATAGCACCAGTCTGTAATAAATTAAAGATTCAAATATTCAATTTTATGTTTTAGTCACTGTTTTTTTTTTCAGAGTTTAATTAAAAGGTCGGCATTAGATATTTTGCAATCAAAACAGACAAAAACCGCCTCTTGGAGATGGAATCTCCAGCTTTTGCTGGAGCGGTTCGCAGTTGAGAGTGAAACAGCTGGGTCCCTTAATCTGAGACCATGTTCTCGAGCAGGACAGAGGTGCCTTCTGGGTCAGGGATGAGGTCCTGCCCAAAGTTGTCACGATTTGTGGGATGGTTAGGACCCAAAATGCAGAAACCAGGATGACACGAGGCAGAAGTAGATGTAAAGAAAAAAATCCTTTTATTTGTAGGATGATTCTAAATAAAAACATAAATCAAGAAGGGCAGGAAGCCAAAGTCCAAAAACCCAGGGACTGATCAGGAGATGAAAAGTACAAAAACAGGAGCTCAAAAACTGAGCACGGACACGGGCAAAACTCTGGGGAGGACAGACCAACGTAAACACAAAACAACACTGACAACAACAATGAACCGACAAGACACAGAGACAAGACAGGGCTTAAATACACTGGGGCATAATGGGAGGCCGATGAGGTGCAGGTGTGTGGGGAGAGGACCAGGTGAAAGCAATACTTAATCAGGGAAGAAACTAACATGACCTAAGAGTGAACCTAAAAACAGAAAAGCAACCATATAACTAAAATACTAAAGGTAAGGAGGACTACAAAAACCGGTGGGACAAAACATATTAAAGAGACTGATAAAAATGAAAAGCTGAAACTATAAACACTGCAGAGGGGTGACTGAAGAAGACTAAAGGAAGACAGGAGACACAGAAATGAGATGCAGACAAAGGACACATGAGGGCGCTATGAAACACAAAAGGAGAACCTGGAGTGGGAACTGGAGGGGCTGGGGAACAAAGAGACACAGAACATGACACAAGTGGGGGAGCTTAAGTATCTCAGAGTCTTGTTCACGAGTGAGGGAAAGCTGGAGCTTTAGATTGGTGCTGCGTCTGCAGTGATGCGGGCGTTGTACTGATCTGCCGTGGTGAAGAGACAGCTGAGCTGGAAGGTGAGCTGATGCCTATCTCCAGTGGTCAATGGGCAATCAGGCGGGATAGCAAAAAACATTAGAATCATATTATTTGCCAGACAAATACAAACATGTGACTCTTGTGTAATCTCTATTTTAATGGAGCATTAATCTGCTGTCGGAGTGTTTCTCCGTGCAGAAACCCGACTCCCTCATCACCTGGTGGTTTTGTGGTTCTCGTGAATGCTCCTCATCTGCTTTGTTGTGCTTGTTTGCTTTATAACACAGGCTTTATGAACACGTCAGCCACACAGATCTGCACATTTACAAAGCCTCTGTCACCTTGGGTTTAGTAATATCACTGAATAGAAACCTTAGATCCACCTCAGCTCTTAAAATATTATTATTATACACCAACTTTTACATTTTAAAAAAGAGCTGAAAAGTTTTGATTCCACATAATTCTTAAATCTCATCAGGTCAAAGGAGCATCTTTTTTTAATTCTAATTCTCTCTGCAAACATTCCCACCTCTCCTTCACATTGATCTATAATCTTCCAAAAACCCACGTCCCTTTGAAGCAACATTTAACAAAGTAAAGACTGCTTCAGAGGCAAAGTGGGAGAGACAACACCACTCCTCCTACATTATTGAGAAGAGTGGCTTTGCACTGAAAGGAGTGTTTTCATCTGGGCTTAGCAAGATCAGACGAGGCTTACGTAAGGTGCTCAACAGCAAGCTGACAAAAGCATTCAGCCAGTCAGATTCCATTTGAGAATTTATCAAAAACAAGAAAAATACTTGAGCTGTTATTTTATTTTACCAAACGCTCCCTCCTTTTGTGACTGAATACTTTTATTTCATTGCATTAATTACACAAAATAAACCTAATAACTATGAGATTTTGCAGATTAAATAAAAAGAGTGGAAGCTGAAATAACTCCAAACATTAGGGTGCCAATATTGAATATTATAGACGTTGATTTAGCAGTGCTGGGAAAGAGGAGCTGGATTTAGACGGAATATCTCAAAACAAAATGACCTTATGTGTTATTTCATGTTTTTGCCTTTTTTATTCATTTTTCAGAATTGCACACTCACAGTTGTTTTGCAGACCAATGAGAATAGAGCACCGTGGGGCAACTTTTTAATAAAACAACGAGCAACAGATAACAGCAATAATTCATCAAAGACTTGTCAGAAAATCTATTCATTTTTTATGTTTGTGACTTCAGGGCAGCCTTGGTTCATTTAATATCTCCGCTTAAGACAATTAGACTGACAGGAGCAGAAACGCTATATGAACATTTTTTTTATCTTCAGTGAAATGACAGCGTTTTTACCCTGTAATAAGTGATTACGCACCATGTCCTTCAAAAGCTTTCTTCATGCCACTGAAAACATGATATTCAAAGGGAAAAGTGAGTAAACCCCTGTAAATTAAAGCTGTTCAACTTAAATTTAATTAAAAAATAATAATAAAACATGGTAACATAATAACTTGGGCTAAAATGACATTGTGCATGGTGGAAAAAGTATTTTAATCTTTAAGTTTTGAGATGTTTTTACAAATGCAGCTCGGAGGACAGGAAGTTTCTAAGAGGGTTAAGTATTGAGTCTCTAAATAAAGGGATACTTTGCAACTTTTTCAAAATTTTAAATCATTTTCTGGAGCCAGTATGTGCTAAAATGACCCTTTACAGGGTTAATGAATTGTCACTCAGACTCCCATCACCCTCTGTTGCCGGAATGCCGCATTTGCAACTTCAGAGTTGCCAATTCGGTCCCTGTTGGGCTTAGTAAAGTGGAGCTGGCATGTGCTGGTGCTGCAGTCTGCTTCCAGCACGTTTCTATGTTTAAGATCTTGAACACAGCGGATTTGTTTATTTCAGGGGCGCAGATTTGGCATGGACAGAGGTGACATGTCCCCACCAATATCCAGCGATGACCAAATAGTCCCCACCAATAATTTGACCAACAATGTTAAAAACCAACAAGCCAGTCAATATCTCATTACCCTAGAGGTGCGGAAAAAGTTAACGCACCTACCTCTGTAACGGATATGGCCACTATGAGATGTAGATTTATAAGTCGCCATCAATGTCAAGAGCAAATTTACGCCAATGGTTTATTTAGTGATGAATCACTCCTGTAGACACTTACCCCAAAATTCCACTACCTCCGCTCCGCCCTCGCCTTCCGCAGCCGCTCGCTTCCGAACTCAATTTTTACTGGTACCCGCTCTACAACGGCTCCGCTCCGGTGCGGAGACCTGAGGTGCGCAAACAGGCATGCGCGGGATTTTCGAGATCTTGCGATACAGTCCGAGCGATAAATGCGGAAGTTAGATCCAAACACCCGTTGTGTGGGAGAAGCATCGAAATGAACAGTTTAATCTGCCCATCATCTGTGTTGAGAGATCAGCAGTGTTTGGATCAACAAAGTGTGACTACTTTGATAGTAGAAACTGTATTTATGGCTTATTTTTGTGCATTTAAAGTTCAGCCGCCATTGATAGTTGTTAAAAGTTGTTAAACCTGTGCATATGAAACAAAAAACGCTTTTTGTTTATCGATTTATTGTGAACAAACGGAAGTTGTGCTTGCTCCCTTTCCTGTTGGGCGGTTGTGATTTCTGTCCATTGACTGAGGAGGTGCTCCGGCATCTGGCAAAAATAGAATCGATCCTATTTTTGCCGGATGGCGGAACGGCGGGCGGCGCACTGTGCAGCACGGCTGCAGTAGTGGAACAGCTCTGATTGACTACAATGGGACCGTTTTTGCTGCGGAGTTCGTGCCGGAGCGGAGCGGAGATAGTGGAATTTTGGGGTTCGGAAGGCTAGGGAGACATTTCAGCGAACAGGAAGAAGTTTTACTATTTGTTGTAATAAACGGACACTAGAGGGTGACAAAAGCAAGCCCAAACTGCCTAGTCTCCCTTTAATCTAACATGCACGTTCTTGGTTTGTGAGAGGAAGATGGAGCATCTGGAGAAAACCCCATCTGCACGAGGAGAACATGCAAACTCATGGTAGAAAGGCAGCAGGCCATAATAGTACCTGCAACCAACTGTGTCACTGTGCTGCCCATAAGCATGAGCAGCTAAAGCAATCCCGGCTGCACACATTAGATAAACACTGCTGTGTGTGTTCAGCTTTGTTTTACTCCTCATGAGAAAACCTGAGCAGGGGCCTGATATTTGCCAACAATCCCTGTGAAACTCTATGGCGCTGCAAAGAAACATTTTGGCTGAAGACTTCTGAATTAAAGCAGCTTTAATCCTTCTGTGGTTGGGCAGCTTCCCATCATCCAAAGAAAATTTACTCCTCAAGTTTTAAAGTGCTAAAGTTTTATGTCTTTTGAAGCCTAAACTGTAGTAAATCTCCATCAGGAGGCATCAAAAAAAATAAAACACTCTGACAAAAACCCTTAACCCGACGCATTTACTGTAGATCAACCTCTAGGGAGTCATTTGCATCACTTTGTGAAATATGGCTCAGCTGGAGACAGCGCCCATTTATGGTTATTGCTGTCTAAGGACGGTTGACGAGCTGGAAAGTCCAACATTTAATCTGTGGTTGTATTTAACGAAGATGCAGAAAGTGTTTGTGTTGACTTCAGGCTTACAACTGTTGAGTTTCTTTGTCACTCCTATTGCTTAAGGTTGGCATGAAGTAACTCGAGCTAACAAGAACAGAAGCTTCCTGTTTCATGTCTTCCTCCTCCAGACAGGAAGTTTGTTAGAGCTGAAAGCATTCAGGAAATTCTTCTAAGTGGTTGAAGAGAAAAATGTGAGTCAAAATCCCACAACGGAGGAAAACACGCACGGTACAAAAATTAGGGATTGTCCCGATCCGATCGCATGGTCGGAAATCGGCCCGATCACGTGGTTTCAGACTGATCGGGACCCGGGCTTTACTTCCCGATCCGGACTCGGATACTGGGTTCAAGTTACAGGAGAGCAACTTGGTTCTCCTTAAAGGTTGTCAGGCTCTCCTGATGCTGTTAACTTACACACCCAGAAGGAGCACAAAGAGATCCCGTTTCTACCTTTATTATATTATTTATATGGACTCAGCGTAGCGGGGATTCTTTTGAGCAGAGCAGCAGGCAGACCGCTGATTATTCATGAACTCCAGCTGCGTTCTGCACACGGCCACAGTAACATTTTCTAAGTTTCTAAGTGGTGTCACCAAAAAATATACAATTAACACACAGTCATTCATGTCCGTTCATTTTCTCTCTAGTAAGTTCTGTCTGTATTTGAGCATGACGTGTGGACGCGCTCGCGCTGCAGCGCTCGTCACTGGTGCAACCGGGCAGCGCAGCGCACACTCCGCCTTTTTTGTGGTCAATAGATCGATTTGATCTGCTAGTTAAAACGTTACTTGTGAGGTGAAAAAGAAGGAAGCAGGCGGGAGTTTTTCTGGAGGACTGGGAGATGCAGGAAGATCAGAGACAGACAGGACAGGAAGATAGGAAAATAAAAACCAAGAAAACAAAACAAAGTTCTTAAAAAAAATAAAATGTAGGTAGATTTATCCCACAACAAGTTTGTACCTGTATAATGCAATAACTTATCAGCATGTAGTATTTATATAGTTGGTACAATTCAGATCATCTTCAAAACTCCATCCCATGCCCAGGGTCGTATCTAAGCATTTTGGGGGCCGAGGCAAATACCCTGCCAGGTATTTTAAGTTGAAGTGCCATCTGTTTTTATATTAGACTTTTATATTTGCAGTAAAGTCCAAAAGTGGAGAATTTTTGTTATTTATTACTTGATTGTTCAAGCTACCTCACAGAAGTGATCTGTTGTTAAAAATTAAAATAAAAGGTAATTAAATAAAAAATAAGGAACATTCAGCAACTGTTTCTTCCTTTTCTTATTTATTTTATGTATCAAAAGTATGGGATCGGGACTCGGTATCGGCAGATTCTCAAAATCAAATGACTCGGACTCGAGGGCAAAAAAAAACCTGATCGGGACATCCCTAACAAAAATGTTATTCAATCAGAAATGATGACCAAATACTCACACTTTAACAAGTATGTTTCATATACACAGTGAGGCAAAAATATTTGGCATTTCAGGAAGTTGTCCCACTTAAAAATATGAGAGAGGTTTGTAGCATAGGTGCACTTCAACTGTGAGACAGAAAGTAAAAAAATTCCAGGACTAAGGAAATTAGGGACAAGATTGAACACCTACACAAGACTGGAATGAGCCAGTAAATAACAGGTGAGCAGCTTGGTGAGAAGAGATCACTGCTGCATTCATCAGAAAATGAACAAGATCACGGACTAGCTCCCTCGACCTGAGGCTTCATGCAAGATCTCACACTGTTGAGTACAAAGGATCTTCAGAATGGTGAGGAAACAGCCAGGTCATGGATTAGGATCCTTTGGTTTTAAAGCTGTTAGAGTGAATCTGCAGAACAAGCTAGGTTTTGAACACAAACGCAGGCACGGAACACTCACCCCTCCCTCGGGTATCTTCCCTGAGCTGCTTCTGCGGAAATCAGAACCCCACATTGCCACAGTAAACGAGAATGTGCTAAACACCTGTCATCATTTTGTCCAAACTTCTTTTGTTGTCCGTGACTCCAAAGGGTGCTTTCGTTTTCAGACTCTGGTAGTTTGTCCTAAAGTGTAAGTGGTAGCAGCCGGCTGTTTCTTCTTCTCTGATATTGAGTGGAGAACCTCTCTCACCAGTGATGTTCTGTTACTAAATACACGAGTGTGTAATGAGTGGAGGACCCAGGGAAGTGTGGAAGTGCGGCGGTTTGGCGAGACCGACAAGCGGATGGTCCAGTAGTTGCTTTTGGTCGGAAACATGTTATTGGTGGAGGTTTTTAGACAAATGCGAGAGAACCACTTTACATCTCCACAACACATTTATAGAAATATTATGATAGAACATTGTCAAGATGCATGAAAATACCTTTTTTTAAGCTCATTTGTTTTCCAAATTTGTCATTGCAGCTTTAAGTGGGACAACTTGCATAAGTGGCTGCCAAATATTTTTTGCTCCACTATTTTAAATTTCTGCACATAAATCAAACAAACATATCAAAGTTAAATTGTGTACAAAATTTCCAAACACCAGTTCAGCTTTCATTTAAACTCTGAATGATGTTTACCTGAGCTCCAAAGCTCCAAAGGGGTCAGGTCTTGTCACCTGTTTAACTAAAATCCCATGATTGTCTATATTTGTTGTTGTTTCTTTGCAAATTTTATCCACATTGAACAAGAAATAGCTACTAAATTCACATCAAACTAAAGATAGCTGATTTCTACACTTTGATTTTGCTTGTGCATAAAAACACAAAATCACAAATAACAGAAATATGGTTTTATGCTTCTGTTTATTTATTTGGCAGACGCTTTTATCCAAAGCAACTTACAATTTATAACCTATAGGGCATGTTGTGATCTGTGGGGGAATCCGGAGTACCCGGAGGAAACCCACGCATGCATGGCGAGAACACGCAACTCCACGCAGAAAGGACGCAGCTGAGTTTCAAACCTACAACCTTCGTGCTGCGAGGCAACAGTGCTAACAACTGCGCCACCATGCAGCCATGCTTATCCTTCCACTGTCACGATCTGCCCCTGCCTTCCTGACTGTGTCTCTCTCCTGCCTGATTAGCCCTTATTGTTCTCACCTGCCCCTCGTTAACCTGCCCATGTGTTCCTGATTCCCCTGTGTATTTATACCTCCCTCCTTGTACCAGTCTTCGTCGGATCATTGTATGTGCATGTGCTTGTTTGTCCTGTCGCTCCCGTTCCACCATTAAAACCATTTTTATTTTTCATCTGTGCCTGCTCTCCTGCCTCCTGAACTCTCCACCACACATGGTCCGTCATCTCCACACCCGCAACATGACATCCACACCCTAAACATTGTCATGCCTGAAATCATTTAACATAGATTTATTATTTTTATGATGCAGCTATCAAGATATATTAAATATTTTTTTATTATTTCTTCTTACATTTTCTGTCTTCATAGTTTTAATTGTATTATGTAATGCAAACTAAAGACTAAACAGACTAAATTTCAAACATACCCACATCTAACTTTAAATAACATCCTTAGATAGAAAACTAACTAATCTTCAAAGAAGCTCTTCTCGTTTCTCAACGTAAAGTCCTTTTCAGTAAGTCTCAGAGATACTACGCATTCTTGGTTATTTGAAATCATGACCAGATAAACTGCAGCGCTGCCAGTGGAGCTACAGAGGGAAGGACTGGGCTCCTAATTTCTGAGAGGATGGCATGGTTCATATAGCATCAGGACTCTAGTGGAATCACTGCAGCACAAAGCTTAACACTGAGAAGAAGAGCATTGTCTCTCTCTCTCTCTCTCACACACACGCGCGCGCGCGCGCGCGCACACACACACACACACACACACACTCAATGCTGACAGGAGGATTGTGGAATCAAGGATCAGCAGGAACTGAGTACCTGTCAGAGGACTGGTCGCTGTCCAAGGTTCTTAAACACCCCCCAGTCCTGTTTGTCATGTCATTTCTTTCACACGCGCGCGCGCACACACACACACGCACACGCACACGCACAAAGAAACATGAATGAATCCTCTGAATTTCAGTTTCATCTCAGACCAGTGGTCATTATTTTATTTATGTTTATTTTATGTTTATTTACTTAGCAGACTTACAATTTATAACCTATAGGGCATGTTGTGAACTGCGGGGGAAACCGGAGTACCCGGAGGAAACCCACGCATGCATGGGGAGAACATGCAACTCCACGCAGAAAGGCCGCAGCCGAGTTTCGAAACTGCGACCTCCGTGCTGCGAGGAGACAGTGCTAACCACTTCCCCACCATGCAGCCATTAAGGCTTCCTACACGGCGAGGAATTATCTTATTATTTAACATTTGCGTTTAATTTGCAACAAACAGTCAATTCTGAAATGAGGAAACAATAAAATGAAAAAAATCCATGGCTGATTGTTTTTTTCAGCTGACAGTGACGTGTTTTGTTGTTGTTTTGAGTCGCATCGTTGTGTAACAACTTCAATCAGGACGCAGCAGTTAACGGATGTCCTACCTCTGAATGTAACTTTGGCGATCCTGTCCCCTCTCCCCCGGAGCTGAGCCACCGTCTTCAGGTGAACCACCAGAGCCATCATCAGTCCACTTTGAGCTGGGGGAGTTTTGTACTCCACGGACAAAACTTGAACCGCTTTGGTGCAATCACTGCTTCTTTTACACGAACCTGTGCTCGGCTCCGGGTTCGCTGTGTCCACAAGGCGCTCTCCTTCCAGGTGGCATGGATATTTGTTATTATTTTTAATATCCTAGAACACTTTTTAAAGAAAAATATGAATACGAGGTTTTACTCCAAGTCAGTGCTCCGTGGCTGCCGCGTCCATGGTGCTTGATTTGAGTCCGCTGGCTGCGCAGGAAGGGCGGGGTGCGCAACTCTCAGGCAGAGGGGTGCTGGATGCGCTAATTGCAGATAATACAGGAGGCGGAGGGAGAAAATGTGATACCATTCTCTTTCTTCTTTTTTTTCCTACAATAAGCTGGAGCATCACTGTCTCACTTTTGCAAAATATTTGCACCAAACAATTAAACCGAACCTCTAGAATAAATAAACCAATTTTTTATCTGACATGCAAAATAAACCGAGTTTGCATGATAGTTAAAAACTACAATTATGTTATGTTCCAATTGGCTCCCTGAATACTGTTAGACAATAATTTATCTTGGATTTTCCTGCAGATTATTGGATAAAAAGCTAATTTTTTTAGCAATGGTTGCCAGGCAACTCTCGTTGCTCTATATATGATGAGTTAGTGAACTACCAGGGTCACATGAACATTGTCTTTCTCTGAACGGAAGGCAGATGAAATAACAGCTGGAGCCTGATGTTTGAAAAAGACAAAAAAAAAGTCACATTTTAGATGCATTTTGTAATTTTGGTAGATGCCTTTTGTTCTGCTCCAGCAGGTGATGAGGACCAGGAGGAGCACCAGAGAATAGAGACTCCATCATCAGTGGAGCGAATAATGCTGCAGAGGGGAGTTCTTGTTCCAGGTGAGGCATTATTGGGGAGCTGAGAGGATGAGCACCAGAACACTGAGGTAATTAAGACTGAGGATGGTTTTATTCTGAGATGCAGTGGGTACGATCAGTTTTCTGTCTTTGAACTGAAACAGATAACAGTTTGATAAAGCAGAGGCAGAAATCCAACCTCAGAATTTTAGTAACAAAATCATGAATGGTTCATGCAGTTTGTGAGGTTTCAAACCTCCTGCTGCAGAAGATCCATGCACATAATGCAAAAAGTTGATAAAACTGCTACATATACCCTTTTTTTATTGCCAATTCAATAAACAATTTTCAGTTTCTGGTTATTTGGGGTCAAAAATACAGAGTGTCATTGTTGCTCCCTTGCGGACCTGGAGCTGCAGATGACTTATCTGCACCAACATCTCCTGGCGTTCGCCATCTGCATTCAAGCTCAGAATGTTTTTGCTCCCAATGTTTGTTGACGGCTTTTGAGTTAAACTGTCACATTTTGAGGATGTTAGGAACCAAATATGCAGCAACCCAGGATGACACGAGGCAGGAGATGATGAAAAGTAAAATCCTTTATTCTTGAAGGGTGAACAAAATAAATCCAGGCAGCGAGCCCAAAGTCCAAAACTCCAACGCTGGAGAAACAAAGCTCACCAAGAGCACGAACAAACACTGACAGAATACACATACAATGGACCGACACAAGACAAAGACAAGACAGGGCTTCAATAGACTGGGAGGAACAATCAGGGAAACAGGAAGCAGGTGTGTGGAGTGAGGGCTGGAGGGAAGACAGGTGACAACAATTTATCTAAATGGGGAAGTAGAACCAAAGGAGGGCAGATAAACACAACACTGAACTAAAAGACTGAGGGAAGGACTCACACCCACACAATCACACCCAAATACACTCACACACACTGAATTGGGGAATGGGCACGCACACACATACACACAAACACACATACACTCACTCTCACACACACACACACTGAGTTGGGAATGGACATGCACACACCCACACAGACACAGAGCTGGGGGCAAAGAGGCTGGAGCTACAACTGGAGGGGATGGGGAGGATCGAATGCCTACAAACAGAAAACACATAAATGAGACGCAGACAAAAGACACATGAGGGCGCTATGAGACACAAAAGGGAATCTAGAGAGGGATGGAGGACACCAGGAGACACATAACGGAGGGGGCAGATGCAGACCATGACATAAACACTGAAAACAAAAATCTGCAAAAATCTGACTCATGTTTTGTCTTTTTCAGCCTCCCAGATGTTCCAGTGACTCACATCAGGCTTTACCTTGGGCTTTGAAACGAGGAAACACAGAAAGTCATGAAGGGAAACAGTTCCAAACATAATTACTCAAACCCTAATCCATGGGTTCAGATAGAACAAATAAACATCTTAGTGTTTCTGCAAACTTTTGTCCTCCCACATCTGAAATCAAGCGATGCAGAAAGTAGAAACAGCTGTTGGCTGATAATCATCTCAGAAAAAAGACCTTGACAATCCACAATACAGACTGGAACTGTAATTATTTCAGATTTTTGAGATCATGCAGCTGTTCATGCAGACAGTCGGGGGATTCTGTCAGTAATGTGCAAATGCCGTGAAGCTTTGTCCATATTTAACAAAGTATTTGACTATTTGACTGACGTCATTCCTCCTCATCAAGTGGATTTGGCTTGTTTGTGATCCAGAGTCTTCCTTTTAGCTAATTAAATAAAGGTAGCTGTAATTGTTCTTGCAATAATAAGAATCCTAAACTAAAGCTCACACATCAAACAATTAAGCAGTTTAAAAAAACATGAGAAATGGTAGATCACCACTAACGAGAAACCAATTCAGTAAAGTAAAAAAATAAAAATCAAGGAGGTAAACGTGAAAAAGTAAGCTTAAAAGTGTGGAACACTAAAAAACATGTTTTAATTATAAATTTTGATTATAATCAGTCACTCTGCATTTTTCATGCAGGAAATAGTCTCCTACACCTATCTCCTGGATTGTCTTCTGAAAGAAAATAGACTTTGAAACTTTAGGATATGAAGATCCTGACAGATCTACGTCACCCTTTTTTTTACTTATCTCAAACCATTGAAAATAACATAAAATTGCACATGCACTCATCCATATTCCTAGTGCATAAAATAAGACAAATTATGGATTAAAATTAACATACGCTTATGAATAAAAACACAAACATACAAAAATCAAAAGAAAACAAAACAAAACATACAGTAACATCAACCTGTTTGAGAGGGGACTGGAAGAAGCTAAAGCTTGTCTAGTCCAGGCCCAATTCATTAACTCAAATAACGTTTGTTCACATTAGCAAATACAAAGTTGACAACTGTTTTTCATACAGGCCATTCTATCATCACCATACTACACGATGAAGTACAATAACAAAACTGTTGTTCACATGAATCTACAGAAAAGGAAAAGAAATGAAAACAAAACAAACAACAAAATAGAATATATCATTCGTTATCAGTTACCATTTATATCACTTATAATTTACATAAATAGTAAGTTGTTTATATTGCATTTTAAATATAATGCTTTTACATGTGTCACGGTGAGAGGATGGTTAGGACCCAAAATGCAGAAACCAGGATGACACGAGGCAGGATTAGATGTAAAGAAAAAGTCCTTTTATTTGTAGGATGATTCTAAAAAAAAGCATTAATCCAAAGGGCAGGAAGCCAAAGTCCAAAAACCCAGGGACTGATCAGGAGATCAAAAAAATACAAAAACAGAAGCTCAAAAACAGAAGCTCAAAAACAGAAGTTCAAAAACTGAGCACGGACACGGGCAAAACTCTGGGGAGGACAGACCAACGTAAACACAAAACAACACTGACAACAACAATGGACTGACAAGACACTGAGACAAGACAGGGCTTAAATACACTGGGGCATGATGGGAGGCAGATGAACTGCAGGTGTGTGGGGAGAGGACCAGGTGAAAGCAATACTTAATCAGGGAGGGAACTCACATGACCTAAGAAAAAACCTAAAAACAAGAAAAGCAACCACATAACTAAAATTCTAAAGGGAAGGAGAAATACAAAGACTGGTGGGGCAAAACATATAAAAGAGACTAATAAAATGAAAAGCTGAAACTATAAACACTGCAGAGGGGTGACTGGAGAAGACTAAAGGAACACAGGACCTGAGAGATTTTTTTGGAAGGCTGAAGACCAGGGGACAAATGAGGAACACAAAGAGACACATAAATGAGATGCAGACAAAGGACACATGAGGGCGCTATGAAACACAAAAGGAGAACCGGAACTGGAGGGGCTGGGGAACAAAGGGACACAGAACATGACAACATGATTTTAAAGTCACATCAAGTTTGTTCCTCAGTTTGACACCACACACAGATAAACACACACTTTTCATAGTGGTTCGATATAATGGAAAAATAAAGCTTTGAATGCCCCTTAGTTGATACCCTTCTTCACGGGTTTTAAACATCTTTTGCTGTCACTTGTCACTTAACACTCATGGACTCACCCATCTTGACTCCTGACGGAAAAGGATGTTGTTCTTTTAGCATCGAGGAAACAGCAGAGCATGTCTTGGCTAATAGAAGCTAACCGTTAGCATTAGCAACTCCACCATACAGCAGAACTCCTCGAGGCTTGTGTTATGTGTAGAGATAAAACATCATCGTTGTAAGTCAGTGGTAAAGTCACGTTGCTGTTATCCAATCAGAGGCGAGATGTCCAAATATCAGGACATAAGACACCTGGCGTGTTAAGCTCTCCTCTGATGTGTGTGTTAGTTCCCGAAACAAGCGCATCTGAGCTTTTCTTCCCCAGAGTACGACTTGCAAGGCATTCATTCCTACTCCAGACCACCGCAAACATATTGACTAAACGAGTTTCCCACACCTTGAATGCTAACAATAGAGCTAAAATTAGGCTATTGATTTTATATTTGTATGTAGCTGAGAGGATTAAGGGTTCAGATCTTTGTAATAATTCATCAATATCAAGAGTCATTTCAATGAATTTAAAATGAATGAGAGCAAAGTCTGTCATGTGATGTAAATCATGAAGATGAATAAAATCCTGCTTTTCTTTTACGTCACAAAGATGATTTTGGTTCTTCACTTGTTGTACTGAAAGAAGCCAGCGTGTGAGAAGAAATCTTGCTTGAGATGGACTCCAAGTACTCGTGCACACCCAGGGCAGCACTCAGGGGCGTAGCACCAAATTCTGGGCCCTAGGTACAAGTCTTCTAGGTGGGCCCCATGCTCAATTGTGTAATATCTCTCTTACACATTTTATGCCATGCTATAAGACAAGATAATAAATATGATCTCAGTTTAACCTCTATATTGAGCAAATACAAATGCCAGCATAATAAAAGTGAAATGCCCAGACTTCAC